GGTGAAGATGAGGGGAAGGAGTATGCAGCTAAGCACAATCGTATCTGAGGTGTTGTTGTCTGTGATGCCAAAGCACCAGAGGTGCGTTAGATTTGCCACCTGTGCAAGAAGAAAGAGGCGAGGGGGTGCGGGGTGAAGATGAGGGGAAGGAGTATGCAGCTAAGCACAATCGTATCTGAGGTGGTGTTGTCTGTGATGCCAAAGCACCAGAGGTGCGTTAGATTTGCCACCTGCGCAAGGAGGGGACGAGGGCGCGGAGGAGAAGATGAGAGGGGGGTGTATTGCTGTTTTACTGTCGAGGGGGGTGGAGGAAGGCGGAAGGAAGAGGAGGGAAGAGGGAGGGGAAGAGGGAGGGGAAGAGGGAGGGGAAGAGGGAGGGGAAGAGGGAGGGGAAGAGGGAGGGGAAGAGGGAGGGGAAGAGGGAGGGGAAGAGGGAGGGGAAGAGGGAGGGGAGAGGGGGGAAGGGAAGAGGGAGGGGAAGAGGGAGGGGAAGAGGGAGGGGAAGAGGGAGGGGAAGAGGGAGGGGAAGAGGGAGGGATGGTGAAGTTATGGTGTGGTTTGGTACCTACCTGTCTGGGAATGCTGCCAGAGAGCTGGTTCCTGTTGACAGCAAAAATTGAGCTTGCTCAAAAGGCCGATGGGATGGGTGTAGTGCAGTGTGTGCGGTGCAGTGCGGTGAAGTACGGTACATACCTGTCTAGGGATGCTGCCAGAGAGCTGATTACTGTTGACAGCAAAAAAGTTGAGCTTTTTCAAAAGGCCGATGGTCGAAGGGATGGAACCCGACAGGTTGCATCCGTGCATGTCCCTGGTGGGATGCGGTTCAGTGCGGTGGGGTGAGGTGGAGAGGGATTAAAAGAAGATATATAAAAATGGGATAGAGGAATCGAGGACAGTGTCCCTGGTGAGTTCGACCCAGTGCATTAAAGTGCGGTGAGGTGCGGTAGGGGTATGGTGGAGAGCAGGAAAAGTTGGTAGTAACAGTGCAATGGGGGAGCGGCAGCGGCACAAAAGGGAGTGCCTCGTTACAGGACATAACAACTCACAGCATGGAGAGGTCGGAAAGGGAGCTGATGGTGCTGTAGATGCTGCCTGTGAGTGGCTGGGTTGAGCGATATGTCCCTGGGAGAAAAGGAGTGCGAGGGTGAATGGAGGAGTGGAGAGAGATTCGAGGAGGGCAGCCGGGGGGCGAGGGGACGTCTGAGGCGCCTCAGAGGTCGGAAAGGGCGCTGATGGTGCTGCATATGCTGCCCATGAGGGCTGGGTTGAGAGATATGTCCCTGGGGGAATGGAGGGCAGAGGCGAGAGAGAGTGAGAAAGGCTGGAAAGAAAGATCAGAGACCAAAAGGGAGCTGATGGTGCTGACGGGTGCTGGTGTAAGGGCTGGGTTGAGAGAAATCATCCCACAGATGCAAGGGAGTGAGCGTAACAAGACGTTTGAGGGTTGCGATGCGAGGCTTGTAGATGCTGCCTGCAAGAGCTGGCAGCGTCGTCCCATGAGGTTGATTCAGAGAGAGATTGCCTCGTTGTGATTCGGAGACGTTTGAGGGTTCTGTCGTTGTGTGCGATTGTAGCGAGGGTGATTTTTTAGTCGACTGCCTTCAGGGGCTGGGCTGAAATGACCCGTGAGAATAAACTTGTTTCAAGACGACTCAAATATATTTGGTAAAGCGTACATGTTGCTTACAACTGCAGCAACTACTAACGGGTCACAGACTGTGCCTATAAGTCCATTGGAAGGACTGTAAACGAAGCACTCTATACGGCGTACAGGCTTCTAAGCGTGGTGAGCTCGAAGAGGGCTGGAGGAAGCTGCCCCGAAAGTCCCAGCCCTTGCAGTGTCCTACCAAACACGGGCGATGGGGGATAAGAGCGACAAGACAAGACATCACTTCTGATACAAGCGAGTGAGGGCATGGGACGGACGGGAAGGGAATGTGGGGAGGGGAAGCACGGGCGATGGGGATGAGAGCGATGAGAGTGACAGGAGTGAGCGAGTGCGTGGGACAACTTTTGAGTCGACTCAGCAATCATTTTTTAACACGAGCGGTGGGGGATTGGAGCGATAAGAGTGACAGGAGTGAGCGAGTGCGTGGGACAACTTTGAGTCGACTCAGCAATCATTTTTTAACACGAGCGGTGGGGGATTGGAGCGATAAGAGTGACAGAAGTGAGCGAGTGCGTGGGACAACTTTTGAGTCGACTCAGCAATCATTTTTTAACACGAGCGGTGGGGGATTGGAGCGATAAGAGTGACAGAAGTGAGCGAGTGCGTGGGACAACTTTTGAGTCGACTCAGTAATCATTTTTTAACACGAGCGGTGGGGGATTGGAGCGATGAGAGTGACAGAAGTGAGCGAGTGCGTGGGACACGAGGGTATAGCGAAAGGGATTGTGGCGAGAAAGGGAATGTGGGGAGAAAGGGAATGTGGGGAGAAAGAATATGTGTGGGATGGGAAGGGTACGTGGGGAGGAGAACGAGGGAGAGGAGAGCAGGTGGGGGGTGAGGCGGGTGAGGAGGGTGAGTGAGAGGAAGGACACAAGGAGGGGAATTCATTGGGAGAGAGATCATTGGGTTGACTCGCAGAGATGTGATCACTCACAGCGCTGTAACCACATGGTTGCCCGAGCCGTCACTCTCACAAGTGACCCCCGGCCAGCCCTTGCTGCTGGCACCAGCAGCAGCAGCACCACCACCACCAGCAGCACCACCAGGAGCGACGGCAGCGCAGGGATCGTTCCCAGCCCAGGCGTGGAAGAAGGGGTTGGAGGAGGCGAGGGAGGATGCTATAGAGTGAAGAGCAGCCACTGGGAGGGGGGAGAAGGGGGGAGGGGGAGGGGGAGGGGGGGGGGGAGAGAGACGGGACGCGCAGAGGAGAGGAGATGGGGAGAGAAGGAAGACTTTTAAGATGTCTTGCGGAGTAGCTAGCGGAGGGATGGAGTCACGATGGTTCTAAGGGTGGGCGCCGGAAGGGAGGAGCAGGAAGCGAAGTCAATTCTGAGTCGACTCAAGGAATGGATGAGTGGAGGGACGCGGAAAGAGGCCATTGAGCAATCTTTGAGTCGACTCAAGGAATGGATGAGTGGAGGGACGCGGAAAGAGGCAATTGAGCAATCTTTGAGTCGACTCAAGGAACAGAGGAGCGGGGGGAAGGAGTCAGGGTGGTGCAATGGACGGGCGTGTAGAGGAAGGAAGGAACGCAGTAAGGAAGCGCGGACGTCAAACAGGCGTCAGAAGGGTGGTTTTAAAACGTTTACAAACGTTTATCCGTAAAAAAAATTCTGGATACGCCTCCGGAACCATCGCGTGACCGCTAGTTGTTTGCGCAAAAGAATGGGTTGTGCCACCGGCACGAAGTGTGGAAAGGGACGACGTGCACCGACGCCAGTTGAAAGGGACACGGAGGAAGGGACGCGGAGGTAAGGACGTGGTGAGAAGGACGCTCAGCAGAGCGTCTCTGCAGGCATGCCTAGCATGCATACCCTCGCAAACGACGATTATGCGACGAAAGTGACCTTAGCGACCTTCAATGTTCGTGGATGACCATTCTAGACGAAACAACGGACGCTCTGCCTGGCCTGCATATCCTCGCAAACGACGATTGTGCGACGAAGGTGACGCTAGCGACACTCGTGCACGACCATTTTAGACTGACTGTATGCTCATGGAAAGAGTGGATGATGACCATTCTAGACTAACAGTATGCTCATGAGAAATCGTGGGATTTTTTTGTCAGAAAACCTGAGTGTCACGCAAAGAACGCCATGGATGCCAGATCTCAGTCTGTCGCTATCCCCGTTAAGGTACGGAGAGGTTTCACCTTGAGATGGATCCGTCGCAGCTTTAACGGTCTCGCGTGTCCCGAGACTGAAAATAGTAGCGGCCAGTAAGACGAATTGAGCGGAACAGATGATGCTGAGTCGCCTTCGGGGAAATATTATTTTCGCGAGCGACGCGACGCTTCCCATTCCCATGATGATGATGTTCCTGATGGCCCGTCCGGAGGATGAGATGGATATCTCGGAAAAACTCGCGGGAGATTCTGAAGGTCTTTGGTCCGGTAATAGTAAGTCGTGACGCGTAATACGGATAAAAATCACGAGGGGCTCTAGCTAAAAATACAGCGGCGTACAGGCATCGAAGAAACACGGTAATGCGCTTCGGTTAGTTATCGTAGGATCCTTCGTGGTTGTCCTATCTAACAACACGGGAATAAGTTACTCAATACGACTTAGAGACTCACACGCGGAAAAAAACTGGGACAGGGACCACTTTGTTTGAGTAAGTCCAATTCGGTCACAGGAACCTTCTAGGTAGCGACCCTCATACAAAAAAAACTCCAGCTTGAGCAAGAGTGGAGTTATCGTTAGTTTACTACGCGGGTCGCCTGCTAGGACAGGTTAGAACTGTCCGCCCCTCAAGGTGGTGATGCTTTCGGGATGATATACCTCAGCGGACGAAAAATGCCGCCCAATTTCGCGGTTCAAAAGGGACAAGGCCCCCCCTCGGGATTGACGACCTCCCGACGACCTCCGAGCTCCCAGACGGGCCCAAATGGCGTCCCAGGGGCCTCGGGAGCCCTCGGGATTGTCGACAATCCGACGACACCCGTTTGCGCTGGGAGATTCCTGAGAAGGAAATCTCAGCGGACAAAATTCGCCACGTCGAGCCGCGGATGCCTCCACGCGGACCAATAGGGAGGTGCGAGACCCGCCCCACCGATTACAAGGCTGCCACGACGTGGGCGTCGTGGCCACGCGTCGCTCTAGCGGTGCAAACCCACGCGGCGCAAATCGGACCGTCCACATCTTCACTGTCTTGTGGCATCGCGGGTTGCCAGGGAAGTCGGTGTCGACCAGATCCATGTCTGCTTGCCTTAATTTCTTCACTGGGGCGCCAATGGCGGTCGCAAGCCGCGTAACGCACGCCCATTCCGACGTGGAATGGCACTGGCTTACGCCCCTTCCGTGCAGCGCGGCGCCCAACTAGCCATGCCTGGCACGTGCCACGTCGGACAGTGCGCCGCCTTTACGAGAACACATGCACGGCGGCGGATGCATTGGGGTGTGCGTGACGCGCGGCAGCATCGTAGTCGCTCAGGACCATACCCGTCCGTTGCCCCGCGAGCCTGCTCATTCGCTTGTCCGTTCCTGCGTTCCTTCCTGCTCTCTCGTTCCCTTGGAATTTTCAGCTGCCAGTCTGTCATCGCGCCTGTAGGTTGCTCGACAGCCGATTGTTCGTCCAAGTCGGCACAGGTTCCACGTCGCGAGTCGACGTAGCAAGTCGGCGACGCATGGCCAGAGGTCGCCCGAGGGCCCAACAGCCGCAACCCATCCCACCCCCCGCCGACTCGGTAGACGCCGACATCAAGGCGCAGCTGGAACAGCTTGAACTCGAAGCCGAGCTAGACGCGCTTGAGCGAGAATTCGAAGAAGACGAAGACCGCCTGACGCTTCGCGCGTTCGCCGCACCCGTCACACAGTACCGTCTCTGGTTTACCACCCCCCGCGATCTCGAGGTCGACGCCGAGATAGACGTTATTGAGGGACATCTCGAGGACGACCGCCGCGCAACTGTTCGGGCGTACACCGCACCCGTGACTCAGTACCGGCAGTGGTTTAACAACCTCCCCAACGCACACGGACGACGGTAGAGCAGCAGACGTGTACCGACATGGCCGACGTCGACATGTCCGACGCTAGGCCATCCAGTGACCAGGGTCCGACGACCACCGACCGCAGTCCGACATCCACCGACCACAGTCCGACACCTACCGACGAAGACAACCTGCAGTTACTCTACGATCTGGACAAGCTGACGCAGATCCCAGAAGGGGTGTTCACCACGGACGTTCCGCCACCGCCGATAGGGAAGTTCAACAAGAAGAAAAAACAGACTCCTACGCAAAATGGTCGGCCAGGTACCTCGTCGGCACCGGCCGCCCCTGGAAACCAGGTCGATGACGAGGACGCGGAGGAGGAGGGGGGGGAGGAGGAGGAGGAGGAGGAGGAGGAGGAGGAGGAGGAGGAGGAGGAGGAGGAGGAGGAGGAGGAGGAGGAAAGCGATGACGAAAACGACGACCGTCCACCTCGTAGCTCTAATCCGCGCACCTTGGACGAACGACTCAGGCGGGAACTGCAATTCATCGACATACTGCTCGACCAGGACGAGGACGAGGACCAGGAGAACTTGGCGGTGCCGCGCGAACAGTGGAGAGCGGCAGACTTCGTCGAGGAGGACATGGTTTACGCGTGCGTAGACGTGCTCGTCATGGACGCTCTTCGCCACCTGCAAACCGTGGAGAGGAACAGCACGCTGAGGCAGTACACCTCGTGGATCTATCACTACAAGAGGTGGGCGGCGAAGATGTTGAAGCAAATTCGCAACAAGCTTCCGCAGGAGTACAGGCTTAAGCACGTCGACGAGATAGGGCACTACATCCGGGAGAACAAGAAGAAAAACTGGGACCAAGAGGCCGATGTCCCCCGGTCTCACGTGTGGCTGCACGGCCCTAGGGTCACCAAGGACCGGCTTCGCGCATACGTGAAGTACATGATTCGGGAGTTGAACCTCGATGCCGAGTCCGGCAAGGGGGCCGACAACGCCACAGGAACACAGCCGGTGCAGTCGACAACGGTACACACGCTCCTCGGGCGCATAAAGGCATGCCAGATGGCGGCGAGAGTGGAGGCGACGCTCTTCCGGGAGACGGAACTGAGCATCATGAGGGAGATATCGGTGGTCAGGTCGGAGGTGCGGTACATGATCCGCACCAAGAACGAGCGGGACATCAAGTGAGTTTATGTTTTAACCTACGTCGACCACTCTCCTGCTGTCATGATCTTTGTCGACGCCGCCCTAAATACCCCTTGCCCATGGCATTGTTGGCAGGAACTGCGCCGATCGCCGTCGCGGAACCATCGGCGATACCTACACCGCCGAACAGTTCCGCCAGATCATGTTCAGGGTGCTGCCGGCGTGGGCGGCCAAGGCGTGGAACCCGCGGGGTACGGGTCCTTCGCAGACGCTGTGGAGGTTTCTTCTCTTGAAGGTGCTCACGCTACTCTCCCACCACTCTCTCCTGCGCGGTGCAAGCATCCGCGAGATCACTCTCCCCGACATCTTCTTGTACCGACTGGCGAGCACCTCCTCGATCAACCCGGAGAACCAGCCGGTCGTCATGGTCATCGGAGCGCGGAACTCGAAGACGTCCAAGGATGCTCGTCTGCAGCAGAGCTACGCCGCGCGGCACCTCGAAGCGGAGTTGTGCGCCGTCGGCGAGACGGGCCTGTGGTTGCACTTCGTCCTCGATCAGATCGGTCAGTTTCACGGCGTCCGCCTCATTCCGCCGGTCGACACCAGCACACGCGCTAGCTGGTACAAGAAACACCTGTTCTTCGCCAAAAACGACACCGACCAGGGTGAGCTCTCTGCGGCAACCCACCAACGCTGGACGCGGCAGTTGTGGGACACCAACAAGGTGTTCTGCAAGAGGAACGTGCACGCCGCTCGAGCGGGAGGGGCCCAGGAGCTGGCTATCGACGGCACGCCGCGCGCCGAGATCGCGGAGCTTGGACACTGGGCTCTCGACAAGATGACGCGAGCGTACATCACCGCCATTCCGGTGGGGGTGGTGATGAAGAAGGCCGGGTACTCGGGGTACAAGCAGGACTACTTCTTGGGTCGGAGCAGGGTGCCGCCCTCCGAGAAGCTCCTGAAGCTCCTCGCCGAGCACATATTCCCCGGCGTCGACGACATGCTGAAGGAGGTATGTTAGTCGACGCCCTCGTAGCTTGCCGCCGAGTCGTGTTGCCGACCTTTTCTGAGCTCCCCGTACCCGTGACAAATGGCAGGCGGAAGGGAAGGCTGTCGAGGGGTCAGACGCCGACAAAGCCGCGGTGCACTTCTGGCGCACTCTCCTGATGCTGCGCCGCATCGTCGCCGAGGACCTAGCGGTGAAGCTAGTCCGCACACCATGGCACCCGTACGTCCAAGGTTCCAAGCTCTGCCGGATCCCCCTCTTCCAGCACTGGGCGAAACGGGTGGAGAGCGTCGACACCGAGACGATCAACAAGCGTCGGGACCCGACCCAAATACAGCCAGAGGTAAGTCGACGATACTGTCGCCGACGTGCAGTAGGGAGTGTAAACCAAACCACCGCGGCCCTCACGTTTTTCTCCTCCTACTGCTGCAGGAAATCTCGGTGCGCATGGACACCGAGTACTACAACATGTCCCTCATGGCCCAGATGCAGAAGGAGAAAGAGCGCGCCGCGAACGAGAAGATTGATCTCCTAGAGGAGATCGAGAAGCGCGACGACGCCATCGCTGGGCTCACCGCCGAGCTAGCCCGTGTCACCGAGGCACTCCGCTTGTCGGAAGTTCGGAGAGTGCCGGTGGCCCCGCCGTCGGCTCCCGCGCAGACTCCCAGCGATGGTGGATCGGCGGAGTCGGCCAGCACGGGGGCTGGAGCCAAGAAAGGGGATGACAAACCCCCGCCCCCCCCACAGACGGACGAGGAGGCCAGTTACGAGCTCAACGTGGTGCAACCGTGGCGGGAGGCAAAGACTGTGAGGGACGCTTGGCGCCTATGGAATTCCGCCACCGCCAATGACACCCGTCGCCTTTGCGACAGGGTCGCCGAGAAGGGATTCGTCGCCCGCCACACCCTCCTCACAGGAAAGGGCGCGACGCAGGGTGGGCTCGACACGAAAGTGCGACGCATGATGAGGGCCATGGATGCGGTGCGCCAGCTACGCGCGAGCGACGGCGACGCCGACACCGAGGCCGTGGTCGACGCACTGAACAGGATCGCGGCACCGGGCATTGGGACCTTCTGTGACGCCCTCACGGTGCTCAACCCGAAAACGGAACCGATGAAGTCGAAAGAGCCTGGCATGGGAGTCAAGGGGCTGGGCCCCAAGGTTGTCTCTAAGCTTCGCCTCGCCTGTGGGCTTGTCGCGCTCAATCTGAAGCCGGCCGAATGGCTCGAAGCCCTCTTTCCAGACACCTGGGAGGAGCAGATGCCGAAGACCAAGGCCGACCTGGCGAAGCCGACCGCACCTGCCAAGTCGACAGCACCGGCCAAGCCGACCGCACCCGTGCAGCGTCCTCCGACCAAGCGCAAGAAGACGGCATGAAGTCCCTCATGGGATATGCGTCTGCGTAGATTTTGGCAGACTTCAACAGCCCCCCCCCCCCCCCCCCCCCCCCGCCCCATCCGACTGATGTCCCTGGTAGTTTGTAAACATCCCACATCAATGTCCATGCGAACCGATGTTGCCGATGTTGGTTGTTTGTCGCCCAGTACAGTAGGTGTGGCTAAAAATCACTGTCGACGCCGACAACCATGTTTCTGCACTGCTTATCGCCGACGTATCATGTGCATATCATGTCGACATATGCGCCGACTTGGCTCATCGGGTGATATTCGGCTAGCATGGTTATACAGGGACACAGAGTTGTTAGCCCAATATTGAAACGAACAGCACTTGAACAAAAAAAGGCCACATTTAACAAATCTACGCCAAAATCGGCGCCGTCCATACCAATATAGTACACACCCTAGCAACCTAGCAAACATCATTCCGCCGACTACGCATCCGTACTACCTCTTCCTCTTGCTGCCCTTGGCCTGCTTGACCTTCTCCCCCTTCCTCCCCCTGTGATCCAAGTCGTACTCCATCTTCGCGTCACACGGCACATCGATGCCCTCCGCTTTGAGCTTGGGCCCGTCGAGGGGGCACATTCCCCAGAACGCCAAGGTCTCGACCGTCGCTCTTGCGATCATGTCGGCCTCGTCTTCCTCAATGCCCGCCTCGAAGGCCCTGGCCACTCCATAGCGCTGCAGCTCTGGCGCGACGTTATGTGCAACCTCCCCCGCGGGAGCCTGCCGAGTGCGTGCGTGTTCGATAACCACGTGCATGACCATCGCGAAGTGCTCGCCCCTCTCCTTCCCCGCACCTGCCAGAATCGCGGCCGCCTTACCTTCGCCCACAGCACCGAGCACCGACGCCGGCGTCGACATGTAGCACCAGAGGGCGCATGCAGAGGCCGCTAACGCCTGGGCCCCCATCTGCACCTTCTCGTCCGCCTTCCTGTCCGCGCCTTCCATATCCGTCGTCTCTCCCGCGGTCGCCTCCGCGCTCCCGTCGACCTTCCCATACGCGACTCTCGCCGCGACCTTTCCATACGCCGCGCACATCGACACGCGATTCACCATCGCCGACATGTTTGCATTTGTCTCCGCCCTGCCTTCCTCCGTGTCCTCGATGATGGGGAACCACATCGCCGGCCAGAGCACGCCATGAAGCGCATCACCCGAACCTGCGTACCCACGGAACCTGCCGAGTATGTCGTCGAACCTGCCGAGCGAACACGTACACATAGAATTAATGACACCGACTTGGTCGTCAAAACACGGCATGTCGGTAACCGACTTACCTTGCTCTCGGATGGCACAAGCCTCTGGCCCACATCACCGTCCACATCCCGGTCGGCAGGATTTTGACCTCCTCCCACACCGCCTTCCATTCATCCAACTCTCCCGGCTTCAAGGCGGTGAGCTCCTTCATGAGCACCTTGCTCACGTAGCCGTCGTAGACGGAGTACGCAATCGCGTGCTCGTAGGCCAGCTCCATCTTGTCGCGGGACTTGCCGATGTACCGATTCTGGTTCTTGAACTTCATCTCGCCCACCCACCCCTGCCCGTCGCCAGACCTGTCTCGGCGGATGCCATGACCCCGGCGTCCATGCTCTTCCCCCTCCCCCACCTCCTCCTCCTCCTCCTCCTCCTTCTCCTCCTCCTCCTTCTTCTTTGCCGACTTACCCTTGCCGCCCGTCTTCCGTGCCGGCTTCTTCCCTTTGTCTTCCGCCATCTCCTTCCCCGCCGACACCGCCTTCCCTTTCCCGGTGTCGTCCTTACCCTTCCGTCCCGCATTTTCCTCGGCGACAACACCCGTTGCGGCCGTCGGCTCCGCCGAACCCCCTGTGTTGGTCGCCGACGGCTCCGCATGCGCCGTGTCCACGATGGCCAGTGCCGGGGCATGCTCGGGCCGTTTTGCTGCCTCAAACTGGGCCAGGACGGATTCGAGGGCGGCATGCCTGTCGGCGCGGCCGCCGGTGGCTAGCGCTGCACTGACTCCCCTCTCCGCCGCCAGATCGACCACAGCTGCTCCTGGGGAGGATGCGGTCGCATTTACAGCCGTCGGCGTCGCGCTTGTGCCGGGTTCCGGCTGAGTGACTGGTGGAGCTGCCGCTTTGCGTGCGCCTATATGGGCGCGAAGAAACGCGGACTTGGGGTCCGCAGGCGGTGGGGCGGCGACCGGCCGCGCGGCAGATTGGGCATCGGACGGTTTGCCGGCAACGTGCGGAGTGACGGAGCGACGTGCTATTTCTGCGAGGCCGGCGTCGACCACATGATGCTGCTGCGCGCCCGGGCGGTGGGACTCCATGCGGTGGAGCAACACCCTAAGCGCGTTACTCCCGGGTGGCCCCTGTGCCGAAGCAGCCTTCGCGTCGACCTTGGCGGCAGTAGGGGCTGCTGGAGCTGGAGGGGCCGCACGGGCCTCCCCATGCTTCCCCGCACCTGTCTGGCCGGCGGGCCCGGTGGTTGCCGCAGGCGGGTTACATGGTGTCGACTTGGTGGTTCCGGCGACCGTACCAGAAGCAGCCTTCGACTTGGTGGTTCCGGCGACCGTAGCAGAAGCAGCCTTCGACTTGCCGGTTCCGGGGACTGAAGCAGAGGCAGCCTTCGCCGTGCCGGTTCCGGCGACCGTAGCAGACGCAGACATCGCCTTGCCCTTGGCCGGCACCGCGTCAGACGGCCCCTGGGTGGTTCCGGCGCCTCCGACTTTCGCCGCCTGGGCAGTGGGGGCCGCGTCCTTCCCACCGCTCGCCTGAGGATGGGTCTGCTCGGCGTCCAAAGGCGGGCCAGGCGGTGCATCGACGTTAGCCGCGATCCCGTCGGCAGGTCTCCCGTCCGCCCCCCCGCTTCCGCTTCCCTTGCTGGTCGACCCTCCCCTCACCTTCCACCCCTTCGCCTTCAGCATGTCGACCACGCTCCGCGCAGGAGGCTTCGTGACGCGGCTCCCGTCCGATCCCTTGCTCCGCTTCGAGCTCTCCTTGTCGTCACCGTCGCCCGACCTCTTCAGGCCTTGCTTGTCGGCCGCCCTCTGTTGCGCGGCGTCGGCGTCATTGGCCGAAGGCGACGAACCACGTCGACCAGGCGCCACCGTGCCGATCATCTCGGTCAACATCTTCATCCCGGACGCAACGAACGACTGCTCGGTGGCCTCCGTCACCGTCTTCATGATGTCGGCCTTGAACGACTTCAAGAGCTCTTCCGGGAGGGCGGGCGGCGTGGGCTGAGGCGGTGGCGGCGGCTGCACGGGGAGCCTGCCGGTCACAGCTGTGGCGATGTTGACAGCTGCGGCGGACAACTGGCTCGTGATGTGCTCCCGCAAATCCTCCTGCGCATCGCCCACCACCTTGTCGACGTGGTCGGCCAAGGTGGTGACCGCTAAGGCGCGTTGATACGCCACATTTCCCTCCGGGTTGTCGAAGTCCTCCAGCCACGCCGACGCCTGTTCCGCGAAGGTCTTCATCGTCTTCCACGCCTCGTCGAAGCTGCCGGTGATGTTGCCCGTGATGGTCTGCGACATGGCCTCCGCCGCGTTTCGCAGCTGTTCCGCCGCATACTTCTCGGTGTCGTCGACCTGCTCGGCCAACTCCTTCAGGTGGTCGACGAGTCCACGTAGCCCAACAAAAAACGCGTCCAGCCGAGCCCGTTCCGCATCGAGCAAACCCTGCAGCCGAGCGTTCTCCGCCCTCAACAGCGAAAAATTTTAGGGTTTTTCATCCCGCCGTGCGCTCAGGGCGTACGGCGGTTTTCTGCCCGCCGTGCGCCCCGAGGCGCGCGGCGGTTTCCTGCCCGTCGTGGCGCCCCCGGGGACCTGCGCGCTGCCCCCCGTCGTCCTCCTCCCGTCGCCTCGTCGCGGCGCCCTGGGGGCCCGCGCGTCGTCCTCCTCCCGTCGCCTCGTCGCGGCGCCCTGGGGGCCCGCGCGTCCCCCCCCTCCCGTCGCCTCGTCGCGGCACCTTGGGGGCCCGCGCGCCGCCCCCTCCCGTCGCCTCGTCGCGGCGCCTAGGGGGCCCGCGCGCGGCCCCTCCCGTCGCCCGTCGAGCCGCCCTCGGGGGCCCGTGCGCGGCCCCCCTCCCGTCACCCGCCGTGGCGCCCTCGGGGGGCCCGCGCCCTGCTTCTTCGTGGCGCCCAAGAGCCACCCCGCTGCCTCCCTTTCCCTCCGTGCCCCGCCCCTGCTGTTTCCCGCGCTCCTGCCTGCGTTAGGGTTTGGGGGTGGCGGGCATGGGGGTGACCGGTGTGGGTAACCTGCGGCTCCTCCTCCTCCTCCGTCTCCCACTGCTGCAGCTGCCGCTGAGGGGGGTGGGTGTGTGGGAGCCGAGGGTTTAGGGTTTAAGGGGGGTGCCGTGGAAGTGGAGCTAGGGTGTCAGCAGGGGGTGTGTGAGAGGGGCGTGGGACGGTCGGGGGAGGTTGCGTGGAGGTAGCCGTCGTGACGCCAGCAGCGCCAGTAGTCCGGATGCCCTCGCGCGTTTCGGTAGCCCAGCGAGCCTGCTTCGCCAGTCGCCTGTGGGTCCGTTGCTCCTGTGTGTGCTCGTCGTAGCCGCGGAGCCAGATACTCCCGTAGTCCGGTGCCCTCGTGCGCTCGGTAGCCACTGTGCGCGCCGCTCCTGTTGCCCGTGTGTCTGCAGCTTCAGTCGGCGCCTTTCATCTTCTCGCCCTCACAGTTTCTCCTCCTCCTCACTTGCCCTCTATGATCACCTCTAGCTTTGCTTATAATTGTGAACTATTGCTATGCCTGCTCATTGTACTGATTACACCCCACTTTGGCTATGGGGGTGTGTCAGAATGTTATTATTGTCTAGCCTGTAGTGGGGTGCTCTATAGCGAGTACAACCCAGTTAGGGTTTGCTATATGTACCCCAACTGCTGCTAGTGAAACCCCTCTCCTTTCAATCATTCTTGCCTAGTCTTTTTAACAGACTCCCCCAGGTTTCCCAATAAGCTCACGCCCTAGGCCTTCCAAACCTGAGTCCAAGAACAGATCAGGACTTGATCGAGAGGTTGGGGAATATCGAGCCTACACTCTTGGTGTGTCATCTTGGTTCGGGTGCTTGAGGCATCCCTGCCATCATTTCGGTTTGGGTTCATTCGTACCGCACCGCAACATCTGATGTTTATCCTGCGCAGAAATCCAAACAAATCGAGCCACCACCCCTGACCTGACGGTTCGACAAGCGAAACATTTTCATCCAATCAGTGAGTGCTTTGATGCAACCTGTGGCGAACTGTACAGTTCACTGTTTGTGATTGAGGCAACTGCTGCTGCTGCTGGAGGGCTTCCCTTCCCTCCCTCTTCTGCCCGTGGCCGGCGCCGCATACTGTACCTGGCAACAAATGCTGACTCCAACCAGCGTTCATACCCTCAAGAAGCACTCTACCATATCACTGATGACAAATGGAGTTGTACTCTTTCTTTCACATCTGAATTGAAGTAAACAGGCTAACTACATTTAGTACAGTGACCATCATATGCTGTTCCGGTTTAGTGAGCAGCTTTGTCCAACACATCCGCATACTGCAAGAAAAATGGTGGAATAAGAGGAAACATTTGTTCAATGGTGAGAACATAAACATATTGACAAACGAAGCAAATATTGTAGTGTTTACCTGAAACGCATCTGGTTGCAATTCAAACTGCATCAAATCAAGGGCGACGTCACAGCTCTCAGCTACAATTGGGTCAGGATCCTTCTGAAACTTTCTTAGAAGCTGCAGCGTCAATGGGTCTGCAAGGCACGAAGGAAACCATAGCACAACAAACATCAGCACACACACAAACCCCTAGAGGTCGGGATCAGCAGGTCCTGATCATGCCAACACAAGAAGCCGGTGTCCGTACCTGCAACCGAGCCTAGAGCCACAGCAGCTTCGTGCCGAACCATGGCATGACATGACATGTCTTCTAACGCTCTGACAAGAGCCTGGGCGGCGGTTTTGTTCTGTAGCTGGCCCAAGACATAGGCTATCTGATGCGTAGTGGGGAAGGGGGGAAGGCCAAGTGGGTGGACGGAAGAGGGGGAAGAGGGGGGAGAGGAAGAGGGGAGGAAAAGAAGAAGCGGCAAAAGAAGAGAGGGGGGGTTGACGCTTCCCAAATAACGGCTGAACAGATTTTGAGTTGACTGAAAAGGCAGAACTTAAGCAATACTAAAGAAGGAATATTGCAATGCTGCTACTGTGAGGATACAACCATGCTGTGAGTAAACATCGCATCAAACCGCACACCACACCACTGCGCGCCTCACATCGTGGCGCAGCAGAGCACTGGAGGAGGTCTCGGGAGCCTCAACAATCGCTCCCACCGCTGCACTTGCACCCCCACCATCACCACCATTGCTGTGAGCGGTACACCACATTCAACCACATCCAACCGCACACCTCACCACACCATGCCTCACCTCATGTCACAGCAGGGCACAGGTGGAGGTCTCTTATCAATAATGCTGATGCTGTGGGGGCACACCACATCCAACCACATCCAACCGCATTCAACCACATCCAGCCGCACACCACACCACACCATGCCTCACCACACCACACCGCATCATTCCTCACCTCGTGTCGCAGCAGGGCACTGGAGCAGGTCTCTAGAGCCTCAACGATCGCCCCCACCGCTGCATTCGCACCCCCACCATCACCACTGTTACCATCAGCAACAGCACCACTAGCAGCATCAGCACCACCATCAGCAGCATTGGCCCCTCCGTTGCTAGTGGCAGCTGCTTTGTCTCTGAGAGCAAATAGAGCCCCGTAGCGGTCGTACATGTCTGCGTCTTCTTGCAGAAGGAGCTTCCTGAAAGCACACAAAATGCAGGAATACAGGGGGGTGACACACAAAATGCAGGAATACAGGGGGGTGACACACAAAATGCCAGAATACAGGAGGGTGACACACAAAATGCCAGAATACAGGAGGGTGACACACAAAATGCAGGAATACAGGGGGGTGACACACAAAATGCAGGAATACAGGGGGGTGACACACAAAATGCAGGAATACAGGGGGGTGACACACAAAATGCAGGAATACAGGGGGGTGACACACAAAATGCCAGAATACAGGAGGGTGACACACAAAATGCCAGAATACAGGAGGGTGACACACAAAATGCAGGAATACAGGGGGGTGACACACAAAATGCCAGAATACAGGAGGGTGACACAGTGAGCAAGCGATGCCCCAAAACTGCATCACCGCCAGCACCAGCACCAGCACCAGCACCAGCACCAGCACCAGCACCAGCACCAGCACCAGCACCAGCATCAGCACCAGCACCAGCACCAGCACCAGCACCAGCACCAGCACCAGCACCACCAGCACCAGCACCAGCACCACCAGCACCAGCACCAGCACCAGCACCAGCACCAGCACCACCAGCACCAGCACCAGCACCAGCACCAGCACCAGCCCGAGCAGAGGAGAGGACACGACAAGTACCTGACTTCCTCTGTGCTCGTAATAAAAAATTCCAGCAGGATCGACCAACACGAATCGTTTCTTTTGAGTCGACTCAGAAAGCACTCCCAGTAGGATCAACCAATAAAAACTGTTTTCAGCCTTGCACGCTCACAGCATGGCAATATCCATACACAATCTAAAGGACATACAAGTACCTGTGTTCCTCTGTGCTCGCTCGCGTTCTTGGGCGCACTCCTGATTCTGCAGGGTATTTTTGAGAATTCTCAAAAATACCCTGAATTCCCAAAAATACCCTGCAGCTTCTTGGGCGCACTCCTGATTCCAGCATGGCATATCAATAAAAGTCTACATTTGAGAATCTACAGCAAGGCATATCAATGAGAATCTACATCTGATAAAAGTACCTGAGTTCCTCTGTGTTTGCGTTCTTAGGCGCACTCCCAGCAGGGTCTACAGACATGAACCGCTTTCCTTCTCCCTCCCCTTGCCCCTTACCCTCATTCTCCCCCTTCCCCTTCTCCCCTTTCCCAGCAGGGTCTACAGACATGAACCGCTTCTGGCCCGGCACGCACACAGCACAGCACAGAAAATCACAGCACAGCATGGCATATCCATACAGAATCTGAAATTTCTTTCAAGTACCTGAGTTCCTCTGTGTTTGCGTTCTTAGGCGCACTCCCAGCAGGGTCTACAGACATGAACCGCTTTCCTTCTCCCTCCCCTTGCCCCTCACCCTCATTCCCCCCCTCCCCCTTCTGCCCCTTCCCCTTCTCCTCCTCTGCTCCCCCCTTCCCCTTCCTCTCCCCTTTTCCCCCCTCTTCCGCTGTAGCTAGGCTGTCCTGTAGCCGCCGAACCGCCAGCTGGCACGTCTCCCGAACCTCGGGCGCAGGGTCGGCGAGATAGGTTTGGAGGAGGGGGAGGGAGGAGGCTTCACCAATGGCGCCCAGAGCCTCTGCTGCCTGCAACACGGGGAGTTTGATACAGAGCAGTGCAGTGCAGAGTGGTGAGTCCTGGATTATAGATGGTTCCAAGTTCCAGCCTCAAATTATGGGGAAACGGTGTGAATATAGAACGAAAGAAAAGAGGTATTTCCAATGCTACCCTGAAGCCTACAGCCCCCGCTGCCGGGAGCAAAGGGAGTGTGGGCTGAGAAGAGGGGAAGATGGGAGGAGGGAGGGAGGGAAACGGTGTGATATAGAAGGAAGGGAGAGGAGGCCTTTCATATGCTAGCATGAGACCAAGAGCCTCTGCTGCCTCTGGCATAGAGAGTATAGGGACGAGTTTGGGTGGGGGAGGAAGGGATTGTTGGGCGAGAAACGGGAGGAAGGGGAGGCAGGAGGGTGAAGGACTGAATAACGGGAAAGGGGATGAGGGAGGGTGAGGTGAGGGATTGAAAAGGGGGAGAAGGAAGTTGTACACCAAGGTGGCTACAAAGCGTCCTGCAACTCTTGGTGCACCTACCCCCGGGGGATAAGAAAGGTCTGCCCTTTCAGAGCGGCTTTCCGACTGTGCACCTACCCACGTTTACAGGTTCATTCTGGCTTCAAGTGTAGATTGCAGTGAATCACATGGTGGGTTTGCCTGACATGCGTGCCTTTACATCTCTTACTCTACAATTGCTGCACCGTGCACTCCATTCAATAAGGCGGACCGTTTGAGAGAAAAAACTGTTATTTCAATCGATTTGAACGAAATTACATGGGAAGGGAACACGTCAGAGAACTGATTTTTTAGTAAATACAAAGATATGGCTCAGACATTTTACCTTGACTTGTCGAGTTCTCACCTCGTGCCGAACAATGGGGTGGTAAGACGAGTCTTTGAGCACCCGGGTAAGTGCGGGCACCGAAAAAACATCACCCATTTGCCCGAGAGCAAACGCTGCCTCGTGGGCCAATAGCACCGACTTGTCCTCCATGCCTGGGCAGGTGAAGCGATAAAAAAGTCCCGACAGGGAAAAACTAAATGGCGACAGGAAAATTATCTCCCTATTTGACTCGGAAAGGCAATACAATTTCACCTATACACGAAATGACGGCATGAGTGTCTAACATAGCTGCTGCTTTAGATTCCTGAACCAACAGCGACAGCTCAGATAAGCATTTGTAAGCAGTCAGCGTCATTTCCGTAGTTAGTGCTATGCTATGAATGCGAAATCCATAACTAAAGCCCGTCCTAAACCTTAGACCCGAAACCCGAAAACCCGAATCGGCAATACCAAGTCCCGTCCGTAGGATACAGCATTTCTAGCATCACTGCTCGTTATCTCGATCGGAGCTCCCAAGGAATATTTCGGCTAACAGATCCGCGGGTATCGGGCACTGAACGTTGGCCCTGACACCACGGTGCAGTGCGGTGCAGTTTGGTGCCGTTCGGTGCAGAGCATTTTGCGCAACAACCAGCACACAGCTCCTGGTAACGTACGCGGAATTTCCGACAAAGTACTATTGCACGCGATATCCCCGCTAGTGGCATACTCGCCTACCTTCTATAAGTGCCTGTTGCGGAGCTTCCCCCTTGAGGTTGCGCAAAGAGAAGAGCGCGCGGATGCGCTGCTCGATGGGCAGCGCGCGGTCGAGCAGCCGTTGGCGCAGCTCCGCCACGACATCCCGCTCATCCGCGCTACAAGCAGTTTCGTTATCGACAGCCATTCGCAACCAGGGGGATAAACGGATCGAGCTGGGAAGGCAGGAAGAATGAACGGCTAAGGTACTTGATCCTGTTCGAAGCTATGATCAGAGAGAAAACAAGTAGGATAATCTAATGCAAGAACCAAGTCTCGTTTCCTCAGACGAAGAGAAATGTCAAGCCAGAGTTGGACGCTGCTTCTCGACAACACAACGGCTGCATGGTTTCTTGGTTCCCAAATCACGAACTGCCAGAGCTGTTTGTTCCCTCCAAGCTGCGAAAAACGGGCTTGTTCTGGTTCGGTTCTGAGTGGTCAAGATGGTTTTAACTGAATGTGTTTTCGCGGCTGCCACGCGGTGAAGATGAGGTCCATTGTCCGCCGCGCGGCTGGCATGGTTGCGGCGAATCGGGTAGTTTCGCGGTGACCCTTGAACTCGTTTCTAAGCAGATTGTTACACATCGGGGACAGAACACTCGTAAATGTCAGGGCTGTTTTAACATACGGTGACAAAGAAGGTACAATTCATGAATCACACAAACCTTCAGGGCCAACCAGCACCCTGCTCATCAGAGATTCAGGGCCTTATATCCTTTGTAGTGATTTTTTCGAGGTTCAGGGCCTTCACCGCAAAATCAATTGCATTTTATCAGAACCAAAAATTATCAGCTTTGCACAACTTGTGGTGTACATTATCCGCATACACTTTGGTCCAAGGAGGTGCGGTGCACATAAAGGGGGTGGAAGGTGACAGGGTTGAGGCCCTGTCAAGATAGTAAGGACAGTGAGAAGCCATAGCTAGGGTTGACCTAGCTAGGCAAGCAAGAAATGAACAAAGGAGGGGTTGCACTAGTAAGAATGGGGATACAAATAGCAAACCCTAGAAGGGTTGTACTCGCTATAGAGCACCCCACTACAGGCTAGAGCATAATATTCTGACACACCCCCATAGCCAAAGTGGGGTGTAATCAGCAGAGCAAGCAAAGCAGTACAAGCTCAGGGTGGATCACAATGTCACCACACATTCTGAGCACAAGTTCAAGAAGCAATAGTTTAAAGTTCACAATTATGAGCAAAGCTAGTGGTAGTCACAACGGGCAAGTGAGGAGGAGGAAAGAGACTATGAGAGGAGAGGAGGTAGTGGGCGGCAGCTGAAGCTGCTGGCACACGGCGCAACTGGAGCAACTGGCACACGGGCAACTGGAGCAACTGGCACACTGGCAACTGGAGCAACTGGCACACGGGCTACTGGAGTAACTGGCTCCGCGGCTGAAAGTAGCGGCAGACGAGCAACGGACTCACGGGCGACTGGAGCAACGGGCTCACGGGCGACTGGCGCAACGGGCTCACGGGCGACTGGCGCAACGGTCTCACGGGCGACTGGAGCTGCTGGCTTCACGGCGGCCACCCCCTTCAACCTCCCCAAACTATCCCACTCCCCCTGACACACACCCGCTGCTACACCGCTAGCTCCACTCCCCCTTCACCCCCCCCTTAGTACCACTCCGACGGCTCCAACAGGTCCACCCCCCTCAGCGGCAGCTGCAGCACAGGGAGACGGAGGAGGAGGAGGAGCAGGGAACGGCACACAGAAGCTGCACCCCCATACCCCCCACCCCCAAACCCTAATCAAGGAGTACGGGCAGAAGGAGGGGTGGGGCGCCTTCAGAAGCACGGGGGACAGTGGGGAGGACAGGGGCAGCGTGTCAAACATATATGCTGGATATTGTCTAGGCTGTAGTGGGGTAGCCCATATGGGGTACAGCCCAATTAGGGTTTACTACTTGTACTCCTGCATGCTGCTAGTTCATTCATTCCTGCTGCTAGATTCTGACATGGTTTCAGAGCACTAAGGTCCGTAGGACCGTTTTTTTTTTTCCGGGCCCACCTACCGCTGCGGTTACCGCGCTACCCCACGTACCTGCCTGCCTTGCCTTGCCTTGTGACGTGCTGCACTATGTGCGCCGTCCAGCAGCCCTAGCGCTGCCTCCTACTGCCCTAGGCCAGCGCACTGCCCCTAGAGGCCCGTAAGGCCAGCGCGCTGCCCCTAGAGGCCCGTAAGGCCCGCGCAGCCTGCTGCAGCCGCGCGCAGCCCGCACAGAGCCCGCGCAGCCCGCGCCGAGCCGCGCGCAGCCCGCTGCAGCCGCGCGCAGCCCGCACAGAGCCCACGCAGCCCGCGCCGAGCCGCGCACAGCCCGCTGCAGCCGCGCGCAGCCCGCACCGAGCCGCGCACAGCCCGCTGCAGCCGCGCGCAGCCCGCAGCTGCCGCGCGCAGCCCGCGTCGAGCCGCGCGCGGCCTGCTACGGCCTCGCGAGGCCCGCGCGCGGCCCGCAGCAGCCCGCGCCGAGCCGCGCGCGGCCTGCTACTGCCTCGCGCGGCCCGCGCGCGGCCCGCAACAGCCCGCGCCGAGCCGCGCGCGGCCCGCTACTCCCTAGCGCGGCCGCGCGCGGCCTGCAGCAGCTCCACGCGCTGTCAGCGCAGCCCGCGCCGAGCCGCGCGCGGCCCTCTGCCTCGGCCACGACCTGCCGCTGATGCGGCCCCGCCCTGCAGCTACCACGGCCCCGACCTGCCGCTGATGCGGCCCCGCTCTGCAGCTGCCACGGCCCCGACCTGCCGCTGACGCGGCCCCACCCTGCTACTGCCGCTGAGACGGCCCCGCCCTGCAGCTGCTTCGGCCCTGCTCTGCAGCCGGTTTTGCGGCCCCGACGCCGCCGCTGTCGTGCGCCTACTCGGCCGCCGCCCGTCGAGCGCCGGCCCTGCTCGCCTGGTGAGCACCTGCCTGCCTGCCTGACGACCTGCCTGTCTGCCTGCCTGCCTGCCGGCCTGGCTGCCTGCCTGCCTGCCGGCCTGCCTGCCTGCCTGCCTGCCGGCCTGCCTGCCTGCCTGCCGGCCTGCCTGTCTGTCTGCTTGCCTGCCTGCCTGCCTGCCTGTCTGCCTGCCTGCCTGCCTGCCTGCCTGCTTGCCTGCCTGCCTGCCGCGCCTGCCTTGCCCACGCTACTGCTGCTGCTACTGCTACTGGCAGGTGGCCAGATGCAGCTCCAGCGACGTTCACGCGAGCCTCTGACGCCCCAGCAGCTTAGTGAGTGGTATACTAGCTGGGGTTGTCGCAGTAGCCGTCGTAGCTGTCGCCCTGGAGCTGGTCAGTTGGGAGCGTCTGGCAGTGGCCCGCTACAGCTGCAGGGGCGTCCACGTGAGACACTTACGCCCCGGCAGCTCCAGGAGTGGTACGCTCAGTGTAGCAGGTCTACACGTACAGTTCGCTGCCCGTACGTCATTCGCACAGGTGCTAGGACTGGTCAGCCTTGTGGGACGCTTGGTCACACACAGTCCCGCTGCTTCGCTCGTCTGAGCGACGACTGGCGCACAGTGTTTGGCGACGAGGCTGAGCTCCCCACCTGGCTGGAGCTGCATGGACAGAGGGTAGATATCTTTGCGCGTGACTATGATGCTATTCTCATTGCCATGTATGCATTGCCTACTAGTGCTGATCGTGCCTGTTCTCTGTGCGTACCGCCTGACCCTGGTGAGGCTGCTGCTCTAGGTGCTAGTGCGTCTCCTGCTCTAGGTGCTGGTGAGGCTGCTGCTCTCGGTGCTAGTACGTCTACTGCTCTAGGTACTGGTGAGGCCGTGGCTTCAGGTGCTGGTGAGTCTGCTCTCTCTGGTACTGCGCCACCTACGGTCTCGCACACCTTCACCCTTGACTCAGGAGCTTCTCGCTCCTTCTTTCGCGACTGCACCACACTCACGCCGCTTAGTCGGCCAGTTCCAGTCTCCCTGGCGGACCCCTCCGGGGGTCCAGTCCTTGCCCACTACTCCACGGTTCTGCCGTGTCCGGCCGTCCCGTCCGGCTCGCTGTCAGGTCTTTACCTCCCCTCGTTCTCTACGAACTTGGTGAGTGGAGCTGACCTCCAGGATCGGGAGGTTGACCAGTTCACTCCTGCGAGTCAGCGAGTGACTCACTGTACGTGTGCTAGGACGGGCCGGCACTTGGCCACGTTCACCCGTGCACCTGGCTCGAGTCTGTACACACTGACCACTTAGTCCCCTCAGGTAGCTGCGTCTGCGTCTACGTCTGGTCAGCTGGCGGCCCCCTGTGAGTGTCGCGCTTTGTCGCACGACACTCTCCTGTGGCACCACCGTCTTGGTCACCCCTCCTTGCCTCGCCTGCGTCGCATGCACTCTCGCTCCCTGGTCTCTGGTCTTCCCAGGTCTCTGCCTGCCCTCCCTCCCTCGCCTGCGCCGCCCTGCATTCCTTGCGTCGAGGGGCGGCAGCGCGCCGCTCCTCACTCCTCCTCGTTTCCTCCCACAGAGGCTCCCCTGCAGACGCTCCACCTGGACGTGTGGGGCCCAGCCCGCGTCCAGGGACAGGGCCGCGAGCGGTACTTCCTGCTGGTCGTCGACGACTACACGCGTTACACCACGGTCTTCCCCTTGCAGAGCAAGGGGGACGTCCCTGATGTTTTGATCCCTTGGATCCGCGCTGTTCGTCTCCAGCTCCGCGAGCGGTTCCGGCGGGATTTTCCTGTCCTGCGTCTGCACTCTGACAGAGGTGGTGAGTTCTCCTCTGACCTCTTGGCAGCCTACTGTGCGGAGCACGGCATCACCCAGTCGTTCACGC